AAAGTGAAGAATTTCCTCCAGTGTTTCAGTACCTACTCTGTGGCCAGAGACATTTGAAAATTTGGATCAGAGCCCCTGTAATTTTCATCCGTCCCTCCCACGACAGCCTGGGATACACCTCATCTGGATTTGGGACTCGTCCACTTTTAAGCCGGCCCAAAATCTCCAATATCTCCTCAGTCCCTATGTCAATCACTCAAGAACCTCACAATCCCTCTCCCTCAATTCTGTGCCTACATCCTCCTCCCCCCAAGTGAAGACAGAAGTGAAATACATAGAGTCATAGTCATAAGAAATGTACAGCATGGAAACAGACCCTTTGTTCCAACTTGTCCGTGCCAACCAGATATCCTTAATAAAGTTTGTTCCATTTGGCCCATATTCCTCTAAATCCTTCCTATTCATACACCCATCCAGATGCCTTTTAAATGTTGTAATTGTACCAGTCTCCACCACTTCCTCTGGCAGTTCATTCCACACATGCACCACCCTCTGCGTGAAAAATTTGCCCCTTAGGTCCTTTTTAAATCTTTCCCCTCTCATCTTAAACCTCTGCCGTCTAGTTTTGGACTCCCCTAACCTGGGGAAAAGACCTTGACTATTCATCCTAACCATGCCCCTCATGATTTTATAAACGTCTATAAGGTCACCCCTCAGCCTCTGATGCTCCAGTGAAAATATCCCCAGCCTATTCAGTCTCCCTATAGCTCAAACCCTCCAACCCTGGCAAAGTCCTTGTAAATCTTTTCTGAACCCTTTCAAGTTTTACAACAACCTTCCTGTAGCAGTATTGAACACAGTATTCCAAAAGTGATCTAACCAATGTCCTGTACAGCCTCAACATTTTTCCTATAGCAGGGAAACGTGTTTAGCAATGTCCTCCACTCCACACACGCATTGCCCTCTTGGTCCCTAATGGTACCCACTTTTTCCTGGGTTATCATCATTCCCTTGTAGAATATCTTAAGAGTTTCCCTAATTTTACCTGCCAGTGTTCTTCATGTGCCCTCTTTGCTTTTCTAATTGCTTTATTAAGGTGCTTTCTGTACTCCACTAAGGCCTCTGTTGATTTGCTCCCCTTGAGACTTGCTAAAAGCCTCTCTTTTTCTTCTGATCAGTCCTGAATATTCTTATCCAGTGTTTTCTATGGTAATATGTAGGAGCAACAAGTCCAAAAGAAACATATTGGGCCTGTATTCTCCCCAATTCCCCTTTGAACACCACCATCCCACCCCTCAATGTTGTGCTGTAAATTTCCCCCAAGTAGCTGTTCCCAGTCTACTTTAGCCAGAACCTGCCTTTTTAAATAGAATCTGCATTCTCACAATTCATGACCCTTTTTCGCAGACCATCTATTTCCTTTTCCATTAAAAACTTAATATAATTAATAATCCGGACATACTTACCCTATTATGATGATGATGATGATTATTATTATTACCAGTACTACATACGTTAATGGCTGTTTTATTGCTTGCTGACTATTTGGGGTTTTATAATAAATTCTCAGCAATTTGACTGCTTTTTTATTCCTAAGCTTGCCTACAGTCTCATTTGAAGACCCAAGATATCATCCCTTCTTCCTGCAGTAACGGACTCCTTAATTAATAATGCAACACTACCACATCTTTCACACTCTCACCTGAAAATCCTATACCCTGGAAACTTGTGTTGCCAGTCCTGTCCCTCCCTTAACCAAATCTCTGTGATGGCAACATCGTGAATCCACATGTCAATCCATGTCCTTAACTCATTTGTCTTACCTCTAATATTCCTGGCATTAAAATACAGGCCATCTTCCCTTGTCGTACTCCCTGAATCACAACATGGCAGAATCTCTCAGTCCTGGTTCCTTTACTATATTATGCTGTTTCTCTATTGCGCTAATGCTCTATACCTCCTCCCACTGCTGAACTAATTTAAACTCCTCCCAACAGCACTAGCAAATCCACCTGCAAGAATGTTGGTCCAGACAGGAATTAACAATTGTTCATGTTCATCAATGTGCAATTTAAATGTTTGCCATTGCCTATGTACTGTCATCACTTTAAGCAACGTTCCTTAATTTATCATAGCCAGCTTGTGCCTCATACCATCATTATTTCCTTTATTTAGATTCAAGCCCATAGTCTCAGAATCAACTAAAGACTCTCCCCTAATTGAAGAATTCTATTTTGTTGACTTTTTCTTAGGGGGTCCCACACAGCTAGATTGCTAATTATTCATTTCTCATCACACAATACCCAGTCTAGGACAGCCTGCTCTCTAATTGGTTCCTCTATGTATTGATCCAGAAAACCAACCTGTACACACTGCAGGAATTCCTCTTCCACAATATTGTTACTGATTTGATTTGTGCAATCCATTTGAAGATTAAAGTCACCTATAATTACAGCTGTACCTTTACTGCGTGCATCTCTAATTTCCTGTTCAGTTCCTTCCCCAACATTACCACTACAGTTTGTATTTATATACGAACTCCATTATTGTTTTCTACCCCTTGGTGTTTCTAAGATTCCACTACACTGGAGCTAATATCCTTCCTAACTATTTTGTTAATTTTCTCTTTAACCCACAATGTTACCGCACCTCCTCCTCTTTTTGTCAGTCCTTCCGAAAAACTGAATATCCCATAGTCTCACTGTATCACAAATGGTGTGTGCATTAAGACATAAGACCTTAAGACTTTTTAATATTCTTAATCTCATTTACATTAATTTGCGTTGTGATTTCAATCCTCTATCACTTTTTTTTCCTGTTGTGTCTTTTGTTTTTCCCCTTGTTTCTCTTCTGTCTCCTCAAGAGGTTCCCAGGCCCCTGCCAGTTTAGTTTAAACCTTCTCCAACCACACTATCAAAATCTCTTACTAGGGCATCAGCTCCAGTCCTGTCCAGGTGTTATTTTTACTCTGACTAGCACATGGCATTGGTGGCAATTCTGAGGTCACTGACTTTGAGGTCCTACTTTTTAACTTGCTTCCTAACTCCCTACATTCTACTTTTAGGACTGCATCCTTTTTCTAAAAAAAATACTATGTAGTTGTTACTGATGTGTATGACAACCATTGTCCCCCTTCAGAATGTTCTGTTGCCACTCCAGGACATCCTTGACCCTAGCAACCATGAGGCAATGTATCACCCTGTTCAGGAAACATGGAGTGATTATGCTCTAATGCATTTTCTTAAGGAATTGCATTTATCTGGAGTGCAAATCTAGAGAAATCAGGCAGCAATATTTCTGCCCTTTTTCAACCTGCTCACCCTCTGAGCACACTTGCTTCTATATACTCTCACGTATATCCTTAAGCTGTCACTTCAGAATGAGTTGGCAGAAATTCATAAGAATGTGTCTCATTACAAGGAATGGACATCTGATGAAAATAAAGTTGACTTAGCTGAGACTGAAAAACCAATAGTATTGGGAGACTGCAATCCAACTGAGAGAATCTGCTAGGAACCAGTTTCTATACACTGGTCTCCTGCTATACCAGCACTGTGTCCACTAGAAACAACTAAGCAAACAAATTTGTCAAGAATACTTGTTGGAAAATCCTTTACAAAGAACAAAGAAAATTACAGCACAGGAACAGGCCCTTCGGCCCTCCAAGCCTGCGCCAATCCAGATCCTCTATCTAAACCTGTCGCCTATTTTCCAAGGATCTGTATCCCTCTGCTCCCTGCCCGTTCATGTATCTGTCTAGATACATCTTAAATGACACTATCATGCCCGCCTCTACCACCTCCGCTGGCAACGCATTCCAGGCACCCACCACCCTCTGCGTAAAGAACTTTCGACGTATATCTCCCTTAAACTTTTCCCCTCTCACCTTGAAATCATGACCCCTAGAAATTGAGTCCCCGACTCTGGGGAAAAAAGCTTCTTGCTATCCACCCTGTCTATACCTCTCATGATTTTGTAGACCTCAATCAGGTACCCCCTCAATCTCCGTCTTTCTAATATAAATAATCCTAATCTACTCAACCTCTCTTCATAGCTAGTGCCTGCCATACCAGGCAACATCCTGGTGAACTTCCTCTGAACCCTCTCCAAAGCATCCACATCCCTTTGGTAATGTGGCGACCAGAACTGTACGCAGTATTCCAAATGTGGTCGAACCAAAGTCCTATACAACTGTAACACGACCTGCCAACTCTTGTACTCAATACCCCGTCTGATGAATGAAAGCATGCTATATGCCTTCTTGACCACTCTACCGACCTGCGTTGCCACCTTCAGGGTACAATGGACCTGAACACCCAGATCTCTCTGTGCATCAAAATTTACAAAATTTACAATTAACTAGGTCAACCCAATGGTCAGCCCTGAAGATTTGTATATCAGATACTGGTGACCACAAAGTAAGTTTCTGTAAGTAGCCTTACGGAAATATATAACTGTAGCAATTTCTTTTCTCCTTACTCTTTTATGCCATGTTGGGGGTTTGCAGGTAAGGCCAGCATTTGTTGACCATTCCTAATTATCTCAATGTTGTCAGTTGTGACACAGGTCTCGGTAAATCTTTTTTTCCAAGAATTGTATTATTTAAGGTTAGAGTTTGTTCTGTAAAGCTTTGTGTTAAATGTATACATGCACAAGTGTGCATCTTGTTAATGTGTTGTAAGTTGAATGCTATGTCATAAAGACTAGTCCAAACTCAATGTTTGACAGTTACATTTAAAATAAATTATTTAACTTTGGATGGAAAGGAGTGTCATAATTTCACAACTACAACATGTAATATTAGAGGTGTACCTCTCGCAGACGTCATCAAAGATACGATGATTCATGTGTCCTGACTGAGATAAATGTAGGTGGTATAAATGAAGGACTACAAACAATGAGTGGCTTTTCCCAAAACAGAACTCAATTTCCAGCAAAGTCATTCTGTATTGAGTTATGAGCACTGGTGTTGCATAAATAAATTAATTCAAGATGATCCCTCTCCTTTTATAAGGAATGGCAATGGTTTATGAAAACTGATGGAAGTTTAGTTCCATTACCTGTATTCGGCCACACTTCCAACATGCTTCTTCATGGCTGTATCAGAGCTCATTCCGTAGAACAGTTTCATCTTTTTACCATTCCTCTCTATGATTTCTCCAGCACACTGATCGTGTCCTGCGAACATTCCTCCTAGCATTACAAAATCAGCTCCAGCACCTGAAATCAGCACAAGAGAGTGGCTCAGTAACACAGTGGCTTTTAATACCAATTGAAATCCTGGAATTCCCCATCTACCCAACTGTGGCAGCACCATTACCACAATGACTACACACCTCTGGAAAATTAGGGATGGCAATAAATGTGGCCTTGCCAATGCTGCCCACATTCTGACAGCAAATAGGTAAAATTACACTCCTCTACAGATTCCAGTCTTTTTCTGTTTGCTTTATGTTATTAGAAGTAAATAAAATCAGATGAGTGACTGGCCAAGAGTCCTTGCTGAATACTGAATCCTTTACTAACCTTAGAAATGTTCTTTCAAAACTTATTATATTGTTCATTTTTCCAGATGTCTGGACAGAATTATCAATCTGTTGACATCCTCACTGACTTTTCTCCTTCCACTGGTGTTTCACCAACCTTTTCCAATGCCCTCACTGATAATAAGAGCCCTAGGCACGTGAATTTATTTGTCTTTCTATGGTACAGAAAGAAGAGTAGACTTTTTATATTTTCTTTGGAGCCTCTTGTAACACTCTTTTATTCAGACCCTAATCAGAATGATTTGTTTCATTTGCAACATCCGTGTTAACAATGGAAAAATAGCTCTTCTGAGTCCTGAGGTTTTGAACTACAGCACCCTCCAGTGGCAACAGAAACTAAGCATCTTCACACATCAAAATTCGAGCATTTTGCTATCAACAAATAATCTTTAACTTTAATACTTTATAATTCACTGTGGCAATAAATAATCAGACTTGGACATTAATTTTCTGATCCATATGATTCTTGAAATGCATTAATTTAACTTCAAATTGTTGCAAGCAAAGAGAAGTTATGTAGTTCCTTTATCATTTTGAGATGTCCCAAGGCGTTTTACAATCAATACCAGTTTAAAACAATATTGACATTGTTGAACCATAGAAGGCAATATCAGGACAGATGACACCTGCTTGGTCTAGCATTTGTGGAATGAATGTGTCAGTGGCACAGCTATCCCTAATTGATGGTGCGCCACCTTTTTGAATCATTGCAGACCAAAAGGTATCAAACTATAGATACGCTTACAGTATTTAGGAATGGAGTTTCCAGATTTTGAGGCAGTGAAGGAACAGTGACAGATTTAGAGGTCAGGTTGGTGTGTAACCTGGAGGCAATGTTGCAAGTGTTGGTGTACCCATGTATTTGGTGCCCTCAGTTGTACATCTAGGTGTTAGAGTTCATTGGTTTGGAAAGTGCTACAGAATGAGATTTGGCAAAATGTTGCAGTTTGCATTTTGGTGGTAGCCGGTAAACACTGCTGGCACTGTGGATTGGTGGTGGAGGGAGCCAGTGTTTAAGGTTATGGACAGGATACTGAAAAAGTGGGGTACTTTTTCCTCCATATAGTGTTGAACCTCTTGAGTGTTGCTGAAGCTAGACTCATCAATCTGAAAGGAGGAGAGAGACAGAGCCAAGAGGTTGATGGAGATAATTCTAGAGTTTAGAACCAAGGGATTGAAACCAATCATCGCACAATTAGAATGAATGGTACAGAAGAGGTCAGGTTTAGAGAAGCACAGATAACTCAAAGGAGGTTACAGAGATAGGGAGGTGTGAAACCACAAAGGAATTGGAAAATAAGTAGATGGTGTTAAGCTTAAGGAGTTGTCAGACTGAGAACTAACGTAGATGAACTAGTAGAGTGGTGATGGCTTAACAGGACTTGGAGCGATTAAGATATAGACAACAGGGATTTGCATGAGTAGTCTTAAATAGAGTTGTAAAATTGCCATTCAGGAGTGAATTGGAACAGAACACAGGAATGCAAGAAATGGGAACAGGAAGAGCTCATAGAACCTGTTGACCCTGCTCTGCCATTCAACTGGATCATGGGCGATCTCGGGCATCAACTCCATTTACTCCACATACCTGTTGATTCCCTGAGACCAAACATCTCTCTATCTGGCTTTAAGTAAATTCAACAATGGAACATTCACAACCCAATGGATAGAAAATTCAAATAATTCACCACTCGGAGTGAAAGAAAATTCTCCTCATCGCTGTCCTAAATGATTGGCCCTTATCCTGACACTGTTCCAATTTCTCTAGATTCTGCAACCAGGAAGAAACAAACTTTGTCATCTACCATGTCAGATTCCATAAGGATTTTCTATCTTTCAATGAGATTACCTTTCATTTCTCTAAACTCAAATGATGGAGGCTCAAATTACTCAGCCTGTCATCATAAGTTAACTGTCTCATCTCATGAACCAATCTAGTGAACATCGACCGTGGCGCTTTCAATGCAGGTATATCCTTCCTTAAAGTTAAAGATCAAAACTGCACACAGTACTCAAACTTCAAGGTAACCAGTGCATGGCTGACGGTGTCAGCAGCAGATGAGCTGTGCCAAAATCTGGACTGACATAGTAAAACAAAGGACTGCAAATGCTGGAGATCTGAAACAAAAACAGAAATTGCTGGCAAATTTCAGCCAGTTTGGCAGCATCTGTGGGGACAAAGCGGAGTTAATGTTTCAAGACCTGTGATTCTTCTTCAGAGGAAGAAATCTGAAGAAGAGTCACCGGACTTGAAATGTTAACTCTGCCTTCTCCCTGCAGATACTGCCAGACCTGCTGAGTTTCATCAGCAATTTCTGTTTTTGCTTCATGACTGACATGGCTGGGAAAATGACTGAATGGCAGCCAAAAAATGTAGGGATAATGGGTAGGTTCTCAAATTGGCAAAATGTGACCAGTGGTATCACACAAGAATCTGTGTTTAGGTCCTCAGTTATTCACACTATTTTTTAACAATTTGGATAATGGCATAGAAAGTCACTTTGCTGTTGATACAAAGTTAGGTAGCATGATAGACAATGTAGATGATAGCACAAAATTATGAAGGGATATTGATAGGGTAGCTGAATGGGCAAAACTTTGGCAGACAGAGTTCAATGTAAGCAAGTGTGAGGTTATCCATTTGGACCAAGAAATGATAGATCAGGAAACTTTCTAGTTGGTATGAAGGTAAATACAGTGAATGTCCACAGAGACCCTGGGATTTGGGTACATGGATCTTTAAAATGTCATAAACAGATGCAGAAAGTAATGAAGAAGGCTAATGGAATACTGGTGTTTATATCTAGATGACTGGAATACAAGAAAGCAGCGGTTATGTTGCAGTTACGCAAAACCCTGGCTGGACCCCACTCAGAATACTGTGAGCAGATATGGGCACCACAACTTAGGAAGTATATACTGACCTTGAAGGGGGTACAACGTAGGTTTACAAGATTGATACCCAGACTTCAGGAGTTAAATTTATTAGAAGAGATTGTACAAATTAGGCATATTTTCTCCAGAAGGCTATGGAATGATCTGACCAAGTCTTCAACACATTAACAGGAAAAAACAGGGTAAATAACAATAAGCTTTTTCCATTGGCTGGGGATTCTAGAATTAGGGGGCATAGCCTGAGAATTAGAGCTGACCGTTCAGGACAGATGTTGAGAAACACTTCCGTACAAAGGTTGATGGATGTTTGGAACTCTCTTCCACAAAGGGCAGTGGATGCTGGATCAGTTGTTAATTTTAAATCTGAGACAGATATTTTTTTGTTAAGCAGAAGTATTAAGGGATGTGAACCAAAGGCAGGTATGTGGCATTAGGCCACAGACCAGCCATAATCTCACTGAATGGTGGAACAGGTTCAAGGAGCTGAATGGCTTACTCCTGTCCCTATGTTCCAAAGAATTGGAGATGGCCAATGTTGCAAAGGTGTTTGATGAAGTGGATATGTAGTCAGGAGCTCATCTTGTGATCATACATCAAGGTTGTAAACAGTGTGACTCAGCTTCAGAATATTGCCAGGAATGGAAACGTTAGCCAAGCAAGGGTATTGACTGTAGATTCATTTTTATTTCAGCATCAAAATAGACTATTCGGTCCACCATGTCAATGCCTATATTTGTGCTGGTGTCACTTAGGTTCCATCTACTCTAACTCTGACTTTGTTTCCCTTATTTTCTTCCAATCTGTTTCCTTTACATGTGTTCAATTCCCATGATTGGCTTCAAGGACTAGTTCCAGGAATTTTTTTCCACCCTATATAACTAAATCAATGACTGGAAATAGCTTTTCACTATTTCCTCATGAAAGCACTTTTAATACTTCTTTTAGAGTTCTCATTAACCTTCACTGCTAATGTTTACTGTCTCATTATAATTATTGCTTTATCCCTGGTACCATGTTGAATCAACACTGGACCTTTTATACGTCTATGATACATTTTCCGTATTAAAGGATGCAAAGCAGCATATCATAGTCCAACTGTAATCTAATTAGTAATTTAAGGAGAAGTGATTTCACTTTTTTACTCTTGTATTTTGTCTACCTGCATTTTTTTTTTCACTCATTTGTGGGACATGGGCGTCACTGGGTGGCCAGCATTTATTTCCTGTCCCTAGTTGCCGTTGAGAAAGTGGTAGTGAGCTGCTTTCTTGAATCATTGCAGTCCACATGCAGTAGGTTGACCCACAATGCCCTTTAGGCAGGGAATTCCAGTACTTTGATCCAGTGAGGCTGAAGGAACAGTGATATGGTTTGAAGTCAGGATGGTGAGTGGCTTGGAGGGGAACTTGTTCCCATGTATCTCCTTCCCTTGTCCTCTTAGATGGAAGTGGTCAGTGATTTGGTAGGTACTGTCTAAGGATCTTAGGTGAATTTCTGCACTACTCCTATAGATAGTACATTATTGCTGCTACTGAGCATCAGTGGTAGAGGGAACAGATACTTGTGGTTGTGGTGCAAATCAAACTGGCTGCTTTGTGCTGGTTGGTGTCAAGTTTCCTGAAAGTTGTTGGACCTGCACCCATCCAGACAAGTGGGGAGTATTGCATCACAGACCTAACTTGTGCCTTATAGATGGAGGATAGGCTTTGGGGAGTGAGAAGTTGAGTTACTCGCCGTAGTATTCTTAGCCTCTGACCTACTTTTGTAGCCACTATGTTTACGTGGCAAGTCCAGTTGAGTTTCTGGTCAATGGTAACTGTCAGGATGGTGATAGTGGGGGTTCAGTGATAGTAATACTGTTAAATGTCAAGGGGCAGTAGTTAGATAGTCCCTTATTAGAGATGGTCATTGCCTGGCATTTGTGTGGCGTGAATGCTACTTGCCACTTGTCAGCCCAAGCCTGGATATTGTCCAGATCTTGTTGCATTTGAACTTGAATTATTTCCGTATCTGAGGAGTTGGGAATGGTGCTGAACATTGTGCAATCATTAGCAAACATCCCACTTCTGACCTTATGGTAGAGAGGAGGTCGTTGATGAAACAGTTGAAGATGTTTGGACCTAGGACACCACTCTGCAGAGATGTCCTACAGCTGAGATGACTGACCTCCAACAACTACAATCATCTTCCTGTGTGCCAGGTATGACGCCAATCAGCAGAGAGTTTGTCCCTGATACCCATTGATTACGGTTTTGATAGTGCTATTTGATGCTACATTCATTCGAATGTGGCCTTGATGTCACTCTCACCTCGTCTCTGGAATTCAGCTCTATTGTTCATGTTTGAACCAAGGCTGAAATGAGATCAGGAGCCAAAATGGCCCTGGTGGAACCCAAACTGGGCATTACTGAGTAGGTTATTGCTGAGCAGGTGCTGCTTGTCAGCACTGTTAATGACACCTTCTATCACTTTACTGATGAACACAAGTGGACTGATGGGATGTTAATTGGCCAGGTTAGATTTGTCGTGCTTTTTGTGTACGGGACAATTTTCCACATTGTCAGGTAGATGCCAATGTTATAGCTGTACTGGAAAAGCTTGGCTAGGGGAGTGGCAAGTTCTGGAGCACAATCTTCAGTACTATTGCCGAATGTTGTCAGGCTCATAGCCTTTGTAGTATCCAGTGGCTCCAGCCGTTTGAATCAATTCACTGAAGACTGGTATCTGTGGTGCTGGGGACCACTGGAGGAGGCCAAGGTGGATCAGCCACTTGGCACTTCTGGCTGAAGATTGCTGCAAATGCTTTAGCCTTACTTTTTGGCAATGATGTGTTGGGCTCTCCATCACTGGGGATATTTGTGGAGTTCCCTCCTCCAGTGAGTTGTTTAATTGTCCACCCTCATTCATGACCAGATGTGGCAGGACTGGAGAGCTTAGATCTGATCCATTGATCGTGGGGTTGCTTGGCTCTATCTATCACTTGCTGCATATGCTGTTTGGCATGCAAGTAGTCTTTTTTGGTAGCTTCAGCAGGTTGATACCTCATTTTTAGATATCTCTGGTGCTGCTCCTGGCATGCCCTCCTGCACTCTCTATTCACCCAGGGTCATCCCCTGGTTTTTTTTAGTGATGGTTGAGTGGGGGATATGCCGGGCCATGAGGTTGTAGATTGTATTGGAGTACAATTCTGTTGCTGTTTATGGTCCACAGCACCTCGTGGATGCCCAGTTTTAAGTTGCTAGATCTATTCGAAGTCTGCCCCATTTCATACAGTAATAGTGCCACATTCCACAATGGAGGTTATTCTCAATATGAAGGTGAGACTCATCTCCATGAAGACTGTCCTGTCACTCTTACTGATACTGCCATGGATGGATGCAGAAGGCAGATTGGTAAGGATGAAGTCAAGTGTGTCTTTCTCTCTTGTTGGTTCCCTCACCACTTGCTGCAAACCCAGTCTAGCAGCTATGTCTTTCAGGACCCAACCAGCTTGATCATGATTACTGCTGCTGAGCCACTCTTGGTGGTGGACATTGTAACCAAGACAACATTTTGACACCCTCAGTTCTTCCTCCAAGTATTGTGCAACATGGAGGAATACTGATTTATCAGCCAAGGGAGGATGGTATGTGGTAACCAGCAGGCAGTTTCCTTGGCCATGTTTAACCTGAATCCATGAGACTTCATGGGGTCTGGTGTCAATGTTGAAGACTCCTGGGGCAATTCCCTCCTGCCTGTATACTGCTACAATATAGTACCCACACCGCCACCTCTGCTGGATCTGTCCTACCAATGGGATCGGAAATATCCAGGGATGGTGATGGTGGTATCTGGGACATAATCACACTCATGGAATCATACCCACAATGTCATGCTGTTGCTTAATTAGTCTGTGAGACAGCTCTCCTAATTTTAGCACTAGCCACCAGAAGTTAGTAAGGAGAACTTTGCCCAGTCAACAGGGCTGTTTCTGTAAAACCCATTTAGTTTACTGTGTACTTTCTACTGCAATATAGTTTTTAAAGATCTGAGAATCTGCAATAAAGGTATATTTTTATTCTGAAGTTCTTTCTAAAATGCATTCATAATACTGTCATTTCTGTCACGTATCCACCCACTCCCCTAACCTGATATCTTGCACTCTTCCTCAATTTGTCATGCTGTCTAATTTGAATTCTTGCATGAATTGATAGTGTCCATATCCAAATCATTTAGACATATGGGGAACAAAGAGAAGTCCCAACATTGAAATAGAGACTTCTATCTATACTGTGTCAATTATTAACACTACAGCCACTCTTGTAACCTCAACACTACTTTTAATAGCATGGGCCTTAATCTTTCCACTAAAATTTAAAGGTTGTATTTTATCAATTTTTTCTTGAAATTATAAACTTTTTTTGAGTTTTCTTTGTGTCAACGGTTTCTGTTCTATCAGTCAACAGATGTTAAAGGGTCCAGTTTTCCGACCTCATCCCTGTCAGTTTTCTTTTTATGGAGAGAAGAAAGTGAAATTTAAGGGAAAGCCAGATCATTACATCAAAGGAGAAAGAAAAAGTTATACTGATAGAGTTAAATGAATTGGTGAGGTAGGATCCCTGTACAATGGATATAAATATCTGTGTCGAATAGTTGAGCCAAATAGCCTATATTTCTATGCCAAATTATTATGTTTTCCAATGTAACAAACTTGTTTTGTTTTCCCATTATTGGAACTAATTAACTGGTTATTGCAACCTGCCAAATAATCAATATTGATAGTACAATCTCCTTTATGTTCCCATCTATTCACTTACTATTAAAAAAATACAACAGACAGAAAAATTCCTCATACAAATATATTCTTGTAATTATGCTAAAGACATGATCTGAAAACGTACCAAAGGCTTTGGCAACATCGCCTGGGCAACTGCAACCACCGTCCTTCAGAAAATGGGAAAAAATGGCAGATCAGAATTAGCAAGAAAAAATATCTGAACATCACTGAAGATGCAGAGTAATTTATCACAGATAAATCTGAAAGTTTTTTTGCCAAAATTGTGAATTCAGACTGAACAGAAAATAATATTTCAGTTCCTGAAAATGCAGAATTATTAGTAGTATTTTATGTTTTAATTAATTATCTTGAGTTCCGAGTAGGTGTTTAGTTGGTTAAGTGTGTGTTGTGTACAGTCATATGGTGTTATATAACACAAACATTGGTAATCTAATCGGTCGCAGTGACTTGTGTTCTAAACAGATAGAAGTCTAGAACGTGCAAGCATCCCTGCCTATATGTTTCAGGTGATTGTTTTCAGTGGCTTTACTTCCACGATAAGAATCAGAATGACTGCTGAACTAGACATTAAGACTTCTTTTTAAAATATATTGCACTAAATTTATTTTAAATTAATGAATAGATGTGTTTTGACATTGCCCAGCATTACACTATAGGCTGAAAAGTTGTGATGCACAATCCAAGTAAGTACAAGGAGGCTCAGCAAGATCACAATTTTTTTTCCCTGTCCTCATCCAGGCAAATGGGGAGTATTCCATCATATTCCTGACTCATGTTTTGTAGATGGTAGATGGGCTTTCTGGAATCAGGTGAATGACTTGTTGCAGGATTCCTAGCCTCTGGCCTGCTCCTGTAAGTATAGTACTTATACTAGTCCGGTTCAGTTTCTGATCAATGGTAACTCCCAGGATGCTGATAGCAGGGGATTCAGTAATGGTAATGCCATTAAATGTCAAGGGCTGCTGGTTAGACTCTGTTCTTAAATACAGTTATTGCCTGACATTTGTGCAGCATAAATGTTATCTGCCACCTATCAGTCCAAGATTGTACACTGTCCGGGTTTTGCTGCATTTGGGTGTTACTCCTTCAGTATCTGAGGAGTTGAGAATATTGCTGAATATTGTGCAGTCATCAGGAACCATCCCCACTTTTGGTCTTACAGTAGAGGGAAGGTCATTGATGAAGCAGGTAAAGATAATTGGACCTAGGATTCTAACCTGAGGAACTCTTGCAGAAATGTCCTGGAGTTGAGATGACTGACCTCCAACAACCACATTCATTTTCCTTTGTGCCCAGTGGAATGTTTCCCTGATTCCCATTAATATCGGATTTGCTAGGACTCCTTGATGCCACACTCAGTCAAATATGGCCTTTACGTCAAGGGTCGTCACTCTCACGTCATTTCTGAAATTCAGCTTTTTTATCCATGTTTGAACCAAGGCTGTAATAAGGTCAGGAGCTAAGTGGTCCTGGAAAAAACAAACTGAACATCAGTGAGCAGATTATTGCTAGCAATGGCTGTTTGATGGCACTATGGGTGGCACCTTCATCACTTTATTGATGATTGAGAGTAGACTGACAGGGCAGTAATTCTCGGGGCTTGATTTGTCATTTTCATTTGGGTACAGGACATCCTGGGCAATTTTTCACATTGTTGGATAGATTCCAGTGATGTAGCTGTACTAGAACAGCTTGGCTAGGGATGCAGCAAGTTCTGGAGCACATGTCTATAGTTCTATAGCTGGAATGTTGCCAGGGCCCATAGCCTTCAGCAGTTTCTTAATATCACATGGAGTGATTTGAATTTGTTGAAGACTGGCACCTGTGATTCTGAGGATCTCTGGAGGAGGCTGAGAAGAATTACCCACTTGACGCTTCTGGCTAAAGATTATTAGGAATGCTCAGCCTTATCTTTTTCACTGATGTGCTGGGCTCCCCCATTATAGAGAAGGAGCATGTTTATGGAGCGTCCTCCTCTGCTGAGTTATAGAATCATACAGTACAGAAGAGGCCCTTTTGCTCCTCGCGTCTCTCTCCAAAATATATAATGCTACCTATACTAGTCCCATTGTCCTGCACTAGGCCCATAGCCTTGAATGTTATGACACTTAAAGTGCTCATTCAAGTATTTATTAAAAGTTGAGGGTTCCTGCCTCAACTACACTCCCAGGCAGTGCATTCCAGGCTCCACTAACCTGAGGGTGTAAAGGTTTTTCCTCAAATCCCTTCTAAACAACCTGCGTATCACTTTAAAAGTATGCCCCCTTATTACTGACCCTTCAAATAAGAGAAACAGCTGCTTTCTATTTACCCTGTCCATGCACCTCATACTCTTATACAGCTCCATCAGGAATGCCCCCTAACCTTCTCTTCTTCAAAGAAAACAACCTGAGCTTATCCAGTCTCTCTTCATATCTGAAATGTTCCATCCCAGGCAATATCCTGGTGAATCTCCTTTGCAGCCCCTCCAGTGCAATCACATCCTTCCTATACTGTGATGTTCAACACTGCACACTCCAGCTGTAGCCTAAACAAAGTTCTGCACAACTCCAACATGACCTCCTGCTCCTTTAATCTATGCCAGACTGATAAGGCAAGTATCCGGTATGCCTTCTAAACTATACTATTCACCTGTGCTGCCATCATGAGGGATCTGTGCACAAGCACCTCAAGATCCCTCTGTACCTCAGTTCCTACTGTCTTGCCATTCATTGAGTACTCTCTTGTCTTGATCCGTCATCTTACATTTATCAGAGTTAAATTCTAGCTGCCACTGATCTGCCAATCTGACTGATCAGCTTATATTCCCCTTTAATCTTAAAAGTTTCCTTCTGTCAACTAGCTAGCCAATCTTTGTGTCATCTGTAACTTACTTATCAACGCTGTCCCTGCAGTCTCATCTACATCATTTATATCACAGGTTATAAGAGACCCACATTGATCTCTGTGGTACACCGCTGCATTAGGGAAGGCAACAGCCCAGTGATATTATCACTGGACTGTTAATCCAGAGACCCAGGTAACATTCTGGGGACCTCGGTTCAAATCTTGCTATGGCAGATGGTGGAATTTAAATTCAATGAAAAAAAATCTGGAGTTAAGAATCTAATGATCACCATGAATCTGTTGTCAATTGTCGGAAAAACTCACCTGGTGCACTAATGTCCTTTAGGGAAGGAAACTGCCATCTTAACTGGTCTGGCCTACATGTGACTCCAGACCCACAATGTGAATGACTCTTAATTACCCTTAATTTCCCAGCCATCAGCAAAATAATGGCTCCAGCCACACAAAAAGCCTGCTGCCGCTACCTGTCGCTTGTCACTAAGCCAATTTTAGATCCAACTTGCCAAGTTACCCTGGATCCCATGAGTTTTTACCTTCTTTATCAGTTTCCCATATGGGTCCTTGTCAAAGGCCTTGCTGAAATGCAAATAAACTACATCAACAGCCCTACCCTCATTCAAACACTTGTTCACCACCTCAAAAAAATCCATCAGATTTGTTAGGCATGACAAAGCCATGCTGACTTTTCTTTATCAAATCTTGCCTTTTTAAATGGAGATTAATTTTCTCCTACACTGTTTTGTCCAATAGTTTCCCTACCACTGATGTTAGACTCACTGGTCTATAGTTTCCTGCTCCATCTCTACCACCTTTCTTGTAAAGTGAAATCACATTAACTGTCCTCAAGTCCACTGGCATTGCCATGTGGCCAGAGATCACTTGAAAATTTTGGTCAGGTCCGCTGTAATTTCCTCCCTCATCTCCCATAGCAGCCTGGGATACAACTTATTTGGACATGTAGATTTGTCCACTTTTAAATGTGCCAAACCCTCCAATAACTCCTCGCTACTATTATATCAATCTGTTCAAGAACTTTACAATCCATCTTCTCAAATTCTGAACTTACCTCCTCTTTCTCCAGAGTAAAGACAGATGTGAAGTAATCATTTAACGCTCCACCAATGACCTCCGGTTTCATGCACAGATTGCCCTCTTAGTCCCTAAAAGACCTTCTCTTTCCTTGGTTATTCTCTTCTCTTGATATACTTGTAGAATAGCTTGGGATTGTTCCTAATCTTGCTACCAGTATTTTCTCATGCCCTCTCATTGCTCCTCTAATTGCTTTTTGAGATCCCCCTGCATTTGCTGTATTCCTTTAAGGTCTCCATTGTTTTGCTCCCTTTGCACCTGTTATACATCTCTCCTTTCCTTTTTGTCCAGTCCTGAATGATCCTAGATATCCATGGTTCTCTGGGTTTGTTGCTCCTACATTTCACCCTAAAGGCAAAATATTGGGTCTGTACTCCGCCAGTACCTTTTTGAATGCCTCACAATGTTCTACTATAGCTTTACCCTCCAGTAGCTGTTCTTAGTATTTTTTATCAGGCCTTGCCTTATTTTAATAAAATCTGCCTCATCCCACTCAAACTCTTTTTTGCAGACTATCTTTCTGTTTTACCAATAACAAGCTTAAAACATACGGTGTTGTAACTATCACTAAAATCTGGAGTTAAGAGCTAATTATGTTGATCATTGGAAAAACGAATCTGGCTCATTAATGTCCTTTAGGGAAGGAAACTGCTGTCCTTACCTAGTCTGGCCTACATGCGACTCCAGACCCACAGCAATGTGGGTGACTCTTAACTGCCCTCTTGGCAATAAATGCTGACCTAGCCAGAGAAGCCCACATCCCATAAATGAACAAAAAAAGTAGGCAGATTTCAGAGAAGTGTAAAAATAATAGGGTAAATAACAGGAGATATCAACTTCCCAATATTAACTGGGTTGGACAAAGCATAACAGGCTTAAATGGGAGTGGAATTCTTAAAAGCTATTCAGGAGTGTATTTTAAGCTAACACTTAAGAAAGTTTTATAAATGATGTAACAGTGCCCCGCTGAGATGTATTCTGGGCTACTATGAAAGGCAACAGAGGAGATTACAGGGGATTTGACATCAATTTTCAAATCCTCTATGGACACAGGAGGTGCCAGAGGACTGGATGACAGCTAGTGTGGTACCATTATTCAAGAAATGTGGTCAGGATAAACCAGGGAACTATAGCTCTGTGGATCTAAAATCAGTGGTAGGGAATCTAGTGTAAAAAATGTATCAGGAATAGAATTAATCTTCACTTAGAGAGGCTGGGGTAGTTAGCATAATTTTGTTTGATTTGATTTGATTTATTACTGTCATGTCTATTGAGGTATAGTGAAAAGTGCTATCTTAAATGCTTTACAGGCAGATTGTACAGTACAAGTGCATCAGGGTAACAGAACAGAGTGTAGGATACAATGTTAGTGCTGCCAAGAAGACACAGAAAGATTAGTGTAGAGAGATTAGTAGATCAGTATTAGTGTTAAAGAGGTCCATTCAAAAGTCTGATAACAGCAGGGGAGATCATGTCTCTCAGGTTTGATTGAGTTTTTCAAGGAGCTGACTAGGGGTATTGATGAGGGTTGTGCAATGAATGTAGTCGAAACGGACTTCAGTTAAGCTTTTGACAAGGTCTCATATGGGAGACTGGTTAAGAAGCTGAAAGCCCATGGGATGCAAGGCAATTTAGCAAATTGGATCCAAAATTGGCTTAGTGGCAGAAGACAGAATAATGGTTGAAGGTTGTTTTTGTGACTTGAAGCCTGTGTCTGTGACATACCACCGGGTTTGATGCTGGGTCCCGTGGTGCTTAAAGTGTACATTAACGATCAAGTTCACAGATGGCACAAAGATTTACGGTGTGGTAAATAGTGAAGATGAAAGTCTTAGATTACAGGATGATATTAGGAGGCTTGGTAAAATAGACAGAACAATGGCAAATTTAACTTGATCCTGAAAAATGTGCATCTTGAAAGGACTTACAAGCAAGGGTGTACACAATGAATGGTAGGACTCTAGGAAACACAGAGGATCAGAGACACCTTGCCATACATGTTCATAAATCCTTGAAGGCGACAGGACAATTGGATAAGGTTCATAAGGCATGTGGGATATTTAACTTTATTAGTGCAGGTACTGGACGTAAGGGCAGTGAAATTATGATGGAGTTGTATAAGACATTATTTAGGCAACAAGCTGGAGTACTGTGTGCAGTTCTGGTTGCTACACTGTAGGAAGGATGAGATTGCACGAGAGAGGGTACAAGAAGAGATTCACCTGGACATATGCTGGAACAATTCAGTTATAAATAGAGACTAGTTATGCTGAGTCTAGTTCCATTCTGTAACTGTTCTGAAGTTTTGAAGAAGAGTCTTTGAACTTGTTGCTGCCAGACCTGCTGAGTTTCTCCAGCATTTTATACTTTTATTTCAGATTTCCAGCATCTGCAGTATTTTGTTTGTATTTTAGGTGGAGAGTAAGTGGAGGCAGAGAAAGATGATAATACAAGTGGAAACCAGGTTGAATATAGGAAGTGAAATAAAAAGGGAGAATACAAGAAGAGCCTAGCAGAAAATACATAAACTACATATCTCTTATAGGAAAATGGGGATTGATTAGGGCCTAAAAGGGGATTTATGCAGAGAAGCAGTGGGTATGATTGATAGGATACATGAGTACTTTGCAGCTGTCTTCACCAAATGGTATGATTCAAGCTGATAGTCATATAGGACAAGTCAGATGACAGAGTGAAATCTGGCTCGATGGACGATAAGTTTTATTTTTCCTTTCAATTTATCTGGAGGTAAGTTACTGAACATGTTCACAAAGAGGATGCCAATGTAGTTTTAACCAAAGAATATCAAAGTTTATTAATCAAAAGAAAAACACAAACTATATTACACTTTACAGAAATTGTTTGAATCAATCTTACTCCATTGGTTCTGCCATTTTTGGAATATTGCATACAATTCTGATCTCCCTGCTATAGGAAGGATGTTATGAAACTTGAAGGGGTTCAGTAAAGATTTACAAGAATATTGCCAGGAATGGAGAGTTTGAGCTATAGGGAGAGGCGAACAGGCTGGGGCTATTTTCGCTGGAACTTTAGGGGCTGAAGGGTGACGTTATGGAGGTTTATAAAATCATGAGGGGCATGTATAGGGTAAATAGACAAGGTGGGATAGTCCAAAACTAGAGGGCATAGGTTTAAGGTGAGAGGGGAAAGATTTAAAAGGGACCTCAGGGGCAACATTTAGGCAGAGCCAAATTTGGATGTTGGAGTGCATCATTTAGAACTTACAAGCTCACTGTATTGTTCTGTCTCTAAGTGCAAACAAAAAGCGAAGCAGCAATCAATCCAGTACCATCACTATTTGCATACATCCTGTCTCAGTGGCAGGGCAGAACCTGCAGAGGCAGTAACACAGCAGTATCCAGTTGCCCTGGAAGCTCTTAACATTGACTGTGGACCCCATGAAATCTCATGCCTCCTGAAATGACTGCACAGAGGCCAGTATCCCGTCACCAAGTCACTCTTTATTTACTTATGTACGGTAGACTGGCTATGGCCAGTCAGCTCGGAAGTCAGACCCTGAACTGAGGAGATTCTAAATCTCCTCGTTATATTAGTCAGCCAGGGCTTTCCTGTTTGGCCACGGTTAACAACCCCAATCAAGGATCTCATAGTCAACAAGATCCAGCTGGTTCCAATCACGAGAGGGCCCCACCCCCTCCCCAGTTATTGATTCCTCCACTAAGAGAAAAGGTTTCTTTCAATCTATCCCATCTATGTGCATCATAATTTGGTACACCTCAGTCTGGGTCCCAACTCAGCCTTCTCAGTTTTACAGGAAATAAATCAATTATGTTAACAGTGAAGTAACTATTAATAATTGTTGATTACACAGTGAGACTGGACTCAAAATATTAGCTCTGTTTCTCTCCACAAATGCTGCCAGCTGAATTTTTCCACCATTTTGCTTTTATTACTATCTCTTTTAACATCCAGAGAGCTCTGGCTTTATTTGCATTACCTTGCCTTTTGTGGGAATGTACTGTGGGCTATGGCCAGCAAAAATTTGGCCATGGAGACAGTGTGCTTCATTTGTAGATGGGATTATTTTCCATCTATTAATTTTAATGGATGTTACTTCGTATAATGAGCCCTTTTATTGTTGCATTCCCTGATTGAGAGCTCCTCAGCACTTATCGCAAGAGAAGAAATACTGGAGACTCGGATGATAATTTTCAGAAATTCTCTGTACTTCATGGCAGTGATAGACACACCTCAGACTCCATGCGGATCTTTACAAAGTGGTAATTATCTCAACACACTAATGTAAGTTTCCCTATGTCACATTATTCTGTATCTTATATCTTATCTGGACTATAATGAGGTTTAGTTGATGACAAACTGCCTTATTGCAGGCTTTAATATAATCTTGATTACATTGGGTCTGGTAACTTTCATCATGTGTTCTCACTGTGTAATCAACAATAATTAATAGTTACCTCACTGTTAACATAATGTATTCCAGTCTATAGTTTAAACATCACAGTTACTCTAATGAGAGGGTGTAATGTGGGTTCTAAACAGACATTACCAATGAATCAAACAAAAAGCAATTCATTAACAGGAAATGGCAGTAAAGTTATGCAAAATTAGCATAAACAAGTGTAAAAAGCAAATCCTTCTAAAACTGCCTAAATGATCAAACTATGATTTTTAAAACTTCTTTATTCACAGAATGAATGTGTTACTGGCGAGGCCAGCATTTATTGACCATTCCTAATTGTCCTTAAGATGGTGACGGGAAGCCATCCTCTTAAACTCTATAATCTATTTTTGTATATTTGAATATGTCCCCCAAACACGTCTCTTGAATACAAGGCATCCAACCAAATAAAGTTCTGTTAATAAAGAAAATCAGTTATTAAGTCCATTCCCTAAAGTTAACTGGTTTAACTGATATTAAGTGTGTCACTCACAGAGATGATGTGTCCTTTAAGGCCATGAGCAGAGTCGGCACACTCAATAACTGCACTCAGCTGAGGGTAGCCAACTCCTGTTTTAATCCGAGTTGTGCACACGGAACCTAGAAAGATTTAAAAATAGTTTACACCAACAAAGAACAAAATGTGCCTTTATATGTTCTTTTATGATATTTTCAGGAATTCGCAAAGTAATTAATAACTTGTTGTCACAGATGTTAAATGTACAAAAATGGTGTCCAATTGCGCACAAGATCCCAAAAATGACAGGTAAACATAGAGCCAATTGATTATTTTTGTGTTCTGGATGAGGGAGCATTGAGAATTTTCCACACGTGCTTTGTATACTGTAATGGGATTTTCACATCCGTTTCACTTGGCAAAAAGGCTTTCATTTAAAAAGGATATACTTCCTGGGGTGGGGGTGGTGGTGATATAAGGGAAGTTTATATTTCCAGTCTGGGGCTTAGGCTTGAACCAGCAACTGTCTGATTTCTCAAAGAAAAAGCCAAGTTTGACAGGAGTAGGTGAATCACAATATTGGTTCATTGAGTACTATTCAGGCATAAGCAGCAGGATAGAATACATAGAATGCCTACAGCACAAAAGGAAGCCAAAACGGCCCTCTGCAAGAACAACTCAGCTTGTCCTACCTGTCTGTCCTTTCCCCATAGCCTACAGCCCTAAGAATTTTTTCACTTCAAGTACATACCTAATTTCTTTTAAAAGGCACAATTCTTCAACTTCTTCAATCTATCCACATAAGTGAAGTTTTTCAATTTGGAACCATTCTCATAAATCATTTTCATTATCTCTCAAAATCAGCCCTGACCCTCCTTGTGCGTACTTTTACTACATACTGCTACTACTTGCAGAAGACTTCTGGATTCTCTTTTACGATACCTGACAGTCTCTTCTCAAAACCACTCTCAGCAAAGTCACAGGGAAATGAGAGATATGTGTGCCAATTACAGAGTAGTCAAAATAGGGGATGTTAATATTCCATATTTTTAAAAAAAGTAATTGTGTAAAGGGAAGTGAGGTGAAAAACTTCATGACTTTGAACTTTCTATATTCAACATGGCCCTCACATGTATTATTAGCCTGAACTTATGATATATAGCCTACTTCTGTTTCATCCTACTTTCTATCTCTTTCACCTTCAATCAAACTCTGATTTTGGGTGACTGCTCATGAAATGTACCTCAACAATATCCAAACTATCCCACACTTAAGGGGAGCTCATTGTTCCATTACAAATTTGCCTACCAATCTTCCTTTCCAATCTGCCTATACCAGATCTGTTATCAAACTGAAGATGACCCTCATCCAATTAAATAGTTTTTAAAGTCTGCACTGCTCCTTGTCCTTTCTCATGATATTGTAAGGGTTAGATTAGCAATGATCGCTGTTCCACTACTGATACTCCACTTGACCTACGACAATTCCAAAACAAAATCTAGCAATGCTTCTTTCCGTGCTCATCCAGAAATGTGCTGAACAATAAAATCCTCCCAAACACAATTTGGGAACTCTTCCCCCATCAAAAGATTCAAAATCCATTGAGTGAAAAAACATGCTCCATATCTCATTCCTAAATGATCAATCCCTTACTCTATGTTCCAGATTTCCCAGCCCGAAAAAACAAGTGCCCACTTGTCTCAATGCCTATCCTATCAAAGCCTTCAGAATATTATATGTTCCACTGAGATCATCTCACATTCTTTTAAATGTGAGTGCACTTGGGCCTATGTATTCAGCCTCTCAACACAGGACAACCCTCTCATCCCCAGAGTCAATCTAGTGAACTTTCACCTTATCACCTTCAATGGAAGTATATCCTTCTTTATGTAAGGAAAACAAAACTGCATGCAGTTCTTCAGGGGAGGCAATGGCCGAGTGGTATTATCACTAGACTTATTAATCCAGAAACTCAGCTGATGTTCTGAAGACCCAGGTTAAAATCCTGCCATGGCAGATGGTGAAATTTGAATTCAATAAAGAATCTGGAAGTAAGGGTCTAACAAAGATCTTGTTCCAAAGTCCATTGCCGATTGTCAGGAAAAACCCATCTGGTTCACTAATGTCCTTTTGGGAAGGAAAGTGCCATCCTTACCTGGTCTGGCCTACATGTGACTCCAGACCGACAGCAATGTGGTTGACTCTTAACTGCCCTCTGGGCAATTGTAGCAAAATTTCCTAAGCTGAAGCCCCAGCATTGATCCTTATTGTATTCCATCAGTTACAGATTTCAAATTTGAAAATGCCCTGTTTATCTTTAGTCTTTCCTTCTTGTTCATTAACTCATCCTCAACTCCATGAGATCACATCTTGCATATTATCGTTTTTTGGGTCTGGTACCTTATCAAATATCTGTTGGAAAACCTTTGGAATACTACATCCATTTTTTACATCCTCAAAAAACTCTAAAATTTGTCAAACACAATTTGTAAAGACATGCTGACTGTGTCTGCTCATACTATTATTTACATTAATTTTGAAGATCATTAACCTTTGTTCTCTATTTCCTTCCTCCCTCCCTTGAACAACAGTTACACTTACTACCTTCCATGCACCAGGACCTTTCTAGAATCTGCAGTCTATCTCTGCAGTCATACCTTTTAGAACCCTAGGATTTGGTCCTGAGACTTCACTTTTAGACCCTTGAATTTCTCTAATACGTCTTTTCTGTGGCTATGTTGTGAGTTCAGATGTAATTAAATCTTGAGTTCAAGTACATGCTAATATCCCATTCAACAATTCATTAACACCTTTAGACAATCTGTAATAGATGTATGCTGACCAGTTGGAGTTCATTAGCTCAGCTGGCTAGATGGATAGTTTGCGTTGCAGAGTGATGCCAACAGCGTGGGTTGAATTCTCGCACCAGCTGAAGTTACCATAAAGGATTCTCCTTCTCAAACTTTCACCTCATCTAAGGCATGGTGAGCACCAATACTCCCTCTCTAATGACAGAGCAGTCTGATCGTCTGATAAGACTATTGTGACTTTTACCCAGACCAGATGATGCCTGCTCCAGAAAAGGGGACAGGGAGGGAAGGCAAGCAAAGCCTGCTATCCTAAAGAAGTGGAGGTGCTGGTTTTGGACAGGGGTGGACAAAGCCAGAAGTCACACAACATCAGGTTATAGTCCAACAGGTTTATTTGAAATCACAAGCTTTCGGTGTGTCAGGTGAAGTCACCTGACAAAGGAGCAGCACACCGATTTGATTTTATTGATTTTGGTTTTATTGTCACATGTACTGAAATACAGTGAAAAGCTTTGTTTACAAGCGGTACAGGCTGATCACAGCAAGCAAAGGATGTACAGATCAAAAGGGCTTAGAGGCATATGGGACACATTGCAAGTTACACTATTTCAGGCTAAAGTCCATTCAGCATTCTGATAATGGCCAGAAAGAAGCTGTTCCTGAGCCTGCTTGTGCGTGTTCAGGCTTCTATGTCTTCTGCCTGACGGAAGAGGTTGTAGGAGGTCGTTACCAGGGTGCAATGGGTCTTTGATGATGTTAGTCACCTTTCCATCCTAATGAGCAGTGTAAATAGAGTCCATGGATGGAAATTGAATCAGAGATAGTAGGAACTGCAGACGCTGGAGAATCCGAGACAACAAGGTGCAGGGCTGGATGAACACAGCAGGCCAAGCAGCATCATAAGAGCAGAGAGGCTCCTCTCTGCTCCTATGATGCTGCTTGGCCTGCTG